TGATTTTACTAATCTATCTTATTCCTTGTCATCATTAATATAAAAGAAAAGAAATTAATGCAAAACCTCTATAACGAATGTTGATTTTGAAGCTAGATTGAATAATAAAGTAAAAACATGAGTTTGAACATTCTTTGTCCCACGAAAAGAAAACAATTTAAAACCAACTGAGATGGATGTTAGTATGTTACAAATTTTACAATCATGAATTGTAAATTCAATTGAACTTTTATAGGTTTCAAATCAATCTAATTTTTATATTCATTTGGCATATAAGTAGGGTACATAATTTGAAGAAAAAACATATAATTATACAATTTCAACTCATCAAGATATCATTTTCTTAGTTTAAATGACAAAAAAAAAAAAATCAAATACAGATTATTCTTTCATTCTAAAAATTATATGCTTTTCAATTATGAAATGGAAGAAATAGTAATATCCCTTTTCTTCATCAATCATTGTTTTGTTTAGTCATGTCTTTAGACTCAACCATATCAATAATAACTTTCGAAGTTTGCCAAATTAATACTCTCTTATCCAAATTGAGAAGCAATGATAGTTTTCCAATTAATTAACTTAATAAATTCGTAAGTTGGAATCAATAGCCAAGTTTCATGAAATGGATAAACATTGGGTATTAAGGAAACATACCTTTGAAAGAGAAATGTCTAATACTTCTTCACAGATAGTAGCCAAAATTAAGTTTCCTTTATTGTTTTCTTTCCTAGTTTGTGTTGTAGAACATTCTAAATGTCCAAATAAGGTAATGAGTTGAATTCATATAGATATTAATGTGGAATTTTTATCTTGATATTATTGATATTTGGATGAGTTTTATAAGATTTTACTTGATTTTATATAATTTTTATTCTTTGTATAGGAAAGGATTTAATTGGAAGAAATCATAAATTTTAAGAGCAAATTGCAAAGATCAAAAACCTAAGGATCAACTTGTGTAGATCCAGAAGTCAGGGACCAGGACTGTTATTTTACCATTACAAAAATGCTAAGAAGGCCAAAAACCCGACACGGTGATTGCATTGTACGCTTAACAGAAGTGTCGGCACCTTGTTGAAAAGTGTTGACCCCTTACGCGATTTTCACCAAATCGTGTTTAATTAGTTATTATGGGTGTGGGTCTTACTTATATTCCAGTTAGGGTTTCTAAAATCCTATAAATACCCATCCAAATTCAGAATTAAAAGAGCTTTGTGGAGACTGGTGGCAGCCCTCTTTTAGGCATTCTTGGATATCAAAATAAAGGATTCATCAACAATAAAAGATCAAGAATTTCAATTACCTCAAATTAAATTTTATATTTCCTTAAATATTCTTATGTTAATGACTATAATTTCAGATTTTATTATTTTTATTATGAACTAATTTATTTTATTAGGGTTACGATGTAATCTAATCAATTTAATATAGATTTTGTGATTTTTTATACTTTCAATTAAAGTAATTCGCATGAGGAGTTTATATTATTGAACTTAATGCATTGGAAGTTTGATCATCTTTCAATTGATGTAGTGATTTATGCATGAACTTGAGAAAGAATTGCGTAAATTAGACTAATAATAATATAAACCGTGTGTTAAACTATGAGATCGAGAGGTAATTAGCTCACATGCGGTAGTGGAGGAAGAGAAGAGAGTTAGTAGCTCCCCCTTCTTAAGTTAGAGGTTTTCATAGAATTTATTGCTCATTATTTCGTTTAAAATTATATAGAGATATTATTAATTTGGCAAACAAATGAAAGATTAGCTTGACTTGAGAAAGCTGGTTAATTAATTTAAGGAAATCTGCCATCACATGCAATAACACTCAACAATTTGATAATTCAGAATTTATATTAATTGATTATGGTGAAATCGATGCCTTAGTACCTCATATCTTGATTAGTTTGATTTTAATTATTATTTTCTTTTTATTATTTTTTAATTGAACTTTCTTCCTTTTCGATTGTTCAAATAAATTTGGATTAATTATTTTGGTACTTGGTTAAACACAATCCTCGTGAGTTCGACACTCTTTTCATCATTATATTATTTGGAACGACTAGTACACTTGTTAGGATGATTTTAGTGCATTATATGGCTCCACTTATTAAATAATTTCAATCACATACAACAATTATGCAACAAGCATTATGATCTATGATAACAAAATCAAAATCAGAAATTGAAAAAAAATACCAATTAACAAATCCCAACCACCTAAGTTGAAAATTCTATACCCAACATTTCCTATGTAACCCAAACAAGAAAAATCGAAAATTTGGAATTTGAAAAAAGTTCTACATGTTTTGGCCAAAAAGAGGAATGTGAAAATTGCTTATAAAAAAATTCCAAGAGCTCTTAGAGTTATAAGAACAACTCACAGGAGCAAGGAAAGCACCACATCCGTTACTGGGATAAAACCATTTTGAAATATTAGGATCAATCTCTATATTTACTTATTAGTAATTTACATGTTTCAGCACTTTAGAATCCATAATGAAAGCACGGATTTCATATCATACTCTTATATTACTTTATGAGTCGTGTTATATTAATGGATATTATGTTTGATTTTTGATAGAGTATTTTTTTTTGTTTCCTCTTAGAATAATGTTTTTTTCCTTATTTGTCTCATATCTAATATTTTAGATCTATTTTGGTACATTTCTAATTATTTTCAATAAGTTTTAAATTAGTTCCAATTTAGAGATGCACTCCTTAATATTTAATATTTTAGTAGTATTCCAGTTTAATGTTTTAGTTCAAAGAAGATTTACAATTATTTAAGAAACTTAACTTTTGACACAAAAAGATTTTTTAGCTTTAGGATTTGAAAATCTTTCTTAAGGGTGTGTTTGGTTTGAAGGATGGAGTGTGATGGATTTGTCAATTAATCAGATTGCAATATTCGAAAATATTATAATTTGATTGATTATAAAATGTATCCTTTTTGCCAACAATCTAAGGAATTCAAGAATGAAAAAGGGTTGTCTCTCATTTTGCAAGGAGAGGGTTGCCTACAAAAAAAAAAAAAAAAACCCAATGTCATTTGTTCTGTTTCATCCATTTCCTTCAAACCAAATTTACAATTTAAAGGTGGCAATTTT